TGCCTGGCTAATTTTTTATATATATTTTTAGCTGTCCAATTAATTTCTTTCTATTTTTGGTAGAGACAGGGTCTCGCTCTTGCTCAGGCTGGTCTCGAACTCTTGAGCTCAAATAATCCGCCCGCCTCGGCCTCCCAGAGTGCTAGGATTACAGGCTCTGTGTAGAGTTTTGACAGACATCTTAAACTTAACTTGCTCACAAAAAACCTTTGATTTTTTTTTCCCTTCCAAACTTGTTTTTTGTGTAGTTTCTCCATCTCAGTAAATGGCATACTAACAATCCAGTTTCTCAAGCCAAAAATCTAAAAGTTATCCTTATTTCTTCTCTTTCCCTCACCCTCCACATCAACTTCAACAGCAAAATGTCCCTTCTATGGAACAGCATTCTAAATCTGTCTCTTTTCATTTCCTCCGCTAACGCCCCCATACAACCCAGATGTTGTCTCACGGACTGTCACAGTAGCCTCCTAACTAGTCTTTCAGCTTCAATTCTTGCCTTCCACAGTCCATTCTCCACGTTCTAGGTGGTGCACCCTAGGTGATCTTTTAAAAACATAAATCGGATCACATCCCTCTTCTGCTCAAATCTCTCTGACTTCCCTTCACTTTTAGAATCAAAATCCACTTCTTATCATAGTTGGCAAGGTGATACTGATCCTGCATTGTCTGACCTTTGCCTGCCTCTCCAAGCTCATCTCTCACCACTTTTTCTCTTATTACCATGTTCTGGCTATACTGGCCTCTTTGTGTTCTTGAAACTCTTAAGCTTGTTCTTCCTACCTTGGGACTTTTCATTAGCCGTTCGCTCCACCTGCTGTCATGTTCCTTCCCCTGATGTTTCCATGGCAGGCTCCAACTCGCAATTCATATCTCAGCTTAAGTTTTACTTTCTCAGAGAGGCCTCCTCTGACTCTGCAGTCTAAAGTGGCCACTTAGTCTCACACTCTGTATCACATCATTATAATAATTCTTTGTATCATTTTTTTTCTTCTTGTGTTTTTTAATTTGTTTATCTTCTACTCGAATTTGAATTTCATGAGAACAGTGACTTTGTTTATGGTGGCCCCAGTGCATGAGCTAGTGCCTGGCACATAGTAAGCTCTCTGTAAATATTTCTTGAATGAATGAATGGCCACTTACAATGAGTTTATATGAATAGTCCATGGAATGTATTATTCTGTTTCTAATACCTGAATAATGCCTCAGGTGGATTATACATACATAAATAGTAGTTCTGTTTAGTCTAAGAATTTACCATAAAATCAATTCACAGAAAATAATTTAGACTGCATTATAGCTGAATAACCTTTGATGCTTGATTTGTATTTACATTTTCTCAATAGGTACAGGATTTGATGGGGATCAGTGCCTTGGAGTTCAACTGCTAGAGCTGGGGAAAAAGAAAAAACAAATTTTGCATGGTGACCCTCTTCCTCTTACAAGGAAATCCTATGTTGCATGGGTTGGGTTTTCAGCTGAAGGCAAGATAAATTTGTTTCTTTATATTATTTTTCAAGAAGAATAATTTTTTATTCCTAATTAATTTCTTCAAAGATAAATTGTCTACATTTTGTGTTTTAAATCTCTTTGTTTTAATACGTTGACAGTTGGTAGGCAAGGTAGTCACTGTCTTATGTACAAGATCTCTTTTCATGAGAATTCTGATTAGAAAACTTACAAAGAGGGAAATATATTTTTCTTTTTTCTTTTTCAAAGTTTTCTTTTTTTCTTTTTTTTTCTTTTTTGACCCTGACATGATTCAGGGTCTTTTTTAAATTTTT